TTTTTTTTTGGTCGTTTTATTTTATGTATTCACAAACGTTACAACTACGCGTCGACTATGCACCCGCATTCGCAAAAGCCACATCCTACACGCGTCATACATTATCACTCGTCTCGCAGGCCCCCCTCAAGGAAGGCCCTTGCGTACCGATTACCGAATTATAATCTCTCTTTTTCTCGAGTCCCCTAAGCCGGCGTTCGCAATTTTCTCTCTCTCTCTCTCTGTATGTGTGTATGTGTGTACAAGCGTATGTGTATATCTATATATAAGTATGTATCCTTGCTCTTTCTCTATTTACAGGTCGACGCGCGATGCGTTTAATATATCCTGCGAAGCCACGTGGACCGGTCGGGCTGATATATCTCGTCCTCGTCGACCCGAGGATCTCTCCCGCGGCTCCTGCCGATCCAGGCGGCTCCGTGTCGGAATTTGAAAAAATATGTGGCATATTGTATCTTCAACGAAAGGCTTGGACTTGGTAGTTTTATCTTTTATTCGGCCGGTCTCTCCTCGCCAGGCATCCCCGAAGGACCGGACCGATCTCTTGCTACGAGAGAGTTCTCTCCCTATAGCGATCCTCTAAACGTATTCTACTTAAATTCGCGACGCTTATTATTTCTCTTTCTCTCCTACATTCTTTCTTTTATTGTGCATCATTCTGGAAATGCATGAGTAATGCGACTTTTTTTCTTTTTTCTTTATAAACAGTCCGGAAGTCAAAGTTCTTCTCGAAGGCACTATTGTAACGCGAACGGAAGTTAACGCGGCCCGGAGGAAAGTCACGCCCTTTTCCCGAGCCGGTGTTTCTTGCCCCAGTATCTACCGCGAGTCGATCACATCCGGTGTGGTATATCCGCAAAGCCAGACCGCGGCCGGACGTGGTTCTCCAAGGTTCTCCGATCGATCGGCCGCTCATCCACCAACGGCGACAACGGTCGCCGAGAGGTTCGTCGATTGTTTTCCTTTCAATTTCGCAAAAGATACCGAGGAAGGGTATCCTCCGCTAGCAATCGGTTTAAAGCGACTAGACTTTTGTAACAATTTTCGCACAAACGCAACGCGATCCTGTCGATTCGACTGATCGATGATGACTGTTCAGAAGGAAAATTGACGAAGCGAGCTAATTTCGCTGTATCTTGTGTAAGTATCGTAACGGGACGTACGAAATGAATAACGAGATAAGGGTAAGAAATAGTAGGCGATTACTAAATGACATGTTAACATAACATGGATATTGAGTAGTGATATAAGTAACATATCTTGAGATCGGATCGCGATTGCTCAATGTTGTGTGATGGCAAAAAAAACGCACGGATTAGTTTGCGTAATGAATTTTGCGCTCGTTCCTTTCACACCGCCCGCGCCGAGGATGCCTCTTAGTAAAAATTATGCATTCCTGTGCTCGTTTAAGGAGGGATCTCATCAACAAATTCCGTCTCTTTCAACTCGACGGCTTTAATCTGCTTTCTTTTTTTCGACGTGTCATTAATAAAAAAAAAAAAAGAAAAACAAAATCGAAGGCTACGTATCAAGACATATAAAAATGGCACTATTACAAAATGGTAACGTTATAAATATAATTCTATTTAACAGAGCTATTCAACGGATGATCTTGGAGTGATTATCTCGTTGAGCGAAACGTAACGAGCGATTACAATCAAATTATTGAAAGATTGTAACAAAAGGCGAAAAAGAACAAGGTATACAGAACTGAAGTAACAGATCTAAAGCCCAAGGACCTTACAAAGCTAGATAAGAAAGATGTGTCCAACCGGAGAGTAGCGAAAATGATTCAAAAGTATTTATGGTCCCTCCTAAAACGCATCGCATCTCCACATCTCGGTACATAAACATAATCATCTCTTGCGATCTCTAGTAGTGTATATAATCTTTATATGAAATATTTTTTTTTATACATTTTCTTAAAGTTAAAGTCAGCAACCAATAAACCTCACCCGATTTTTAGCATAAGCCTTAAATGTAAAATTAAGATTTATTAGCGATATATATAAGTAACAATGTAAGAATTTATCATATATATATATGCATACATGTATATAGATATACATATATACATATATGTATATATATATATATACATATATATGTTTATGTATTATTTATAATATATAAATCTTTTTTTTACATTTCGGGATCGATCTCGTGGCGTGACTCTCATCTCAACTTTGGATAAAAACTATTATATGTACATTATGTTACATTTCTGTCTCTCTTCTGCAAAAAAGAGGGGAGGGAACAACAGTCGTACGACAGTAACGGTCGTACGTTAAATATGAAACAGTGCAAATTACAGGGAGAAAAATCGGCGCCGAGTACTTCGTCATGATTTCCCTTTTTTTTTCTCTCCCCCTTCGAATACCAACGTTTTCAACTCGGGGCGTATTTCCGTATCTCTCCTTCCGTATTTAACGATTGCCACGAGGCACGCCACGAGAAACAAGCCTGTGTTTAACATAAGTATAATCTAGCTTGTAAACTAAATCGAACTAAGATCTTATCTCATTATTCGCTATATATAGCTTACACTTAACTGGGCTTAAAAACCTACAGGTACATCTAAATTGCTAAAAATCGAACTATCAAAGTATGTACAAGAATCAATGAGCACGTAATTACGATTACTTTTATTCTCTCTCTCTCTCTCTCTCTCTCTCTCTT